ACATGTTATTTTTAGCAAAGATTTTTCTCTCCTTTTTTATATTGAATAAATGTATAACAAATAAAAACAAAGAAAATATTTTTTAAACAGAACAAAAAAGGTTAAGCAGGTGAGATTGAGTGGGCCAGGCTCTAACCTGTTCCTCTAAACATCTTTGCTTCTACTATGTATGTAATGACTTTAAACACCTTGAGAAGGTATATACTTAAGTAAATATTCTCAATTCAAAACCTTATCTTTTAAAATGTCCCACTCACCTTTTCATATATTAGATAAGGGCAGTTCACTAGGGATCAGTATTTCTAAGTTCTTATTCCTGCGTTGATGTTTAATAGCAGTTGCCAGGTCTGCAAATAATGGTAATGCCTGCCTTACCTTCCCCACAGAACTTTTTTTCAAGATTGAATTAACACAAATACAAGATATATTATTATTTATATTCCTGTGGAAAGAAAAAAAAAGAAGGCCTGGAAGAAAAGTCAGCACATCTGGTCCCATAAACAAAAAGATATGGAATTTGCCTCTACATTATATCTAAATAGCATAGTTCCTTGTTACAAATGATTTTATTTTTCATATGAAAAAATATGGATATTGGATGAATGACCCTTTGATATGTTATTGTATTTAAATTTAAAAATTGTTGTATACTACGGACGGACAGAAAATCCTAGTCAATGGGGTGGTCAGGTAGAGAAAGAAGTTAGATGGGAAAGGATATTTGAGTGGAGATTAATTTTATAAACTGTTACCTCATTACACAATACTTTTCTAGTTTGACTTTTGCTTTCCTAAGTGGACATTTACCTATGGGAATTTAGATTGTTATTCTTGGATAAGGAGAATTCTTTTTTCTGTTAATAAATCATATTAAGCAATATGTGAGTATTAGCCTTAAGTTGGAAATAAAACTTATAGGATTTTTAATACAATTTATTTCTTCTTATTGCATATTAATTCTCTGCCTAGGTCATCACTCCAAAAGTTGTAAGTGAGAGTAGAACGTGTGGATAGAAGAGAAAAGAACCAGATTAAGAAATCATTCCCACAGTTATTAAAGTAACCAACATTTATAAAATCCCTATTTAACTAATGACACAATTCCACTTACAAAACAGTCTAGAATCCCACTGATGTGATTACAAACCCTGCTTTGGAGTTCCAACTGGATTGTGGGGGCCAGTAATCCTTTATTGCCAGGAAGTTATAACAGTTTTTGTTTATCTGCCGGAAACGTGATTGTCGCCCACCTGGAGCGTAATCTCCTCTGTGCTGTGCTTTCCTCCCCGTCGTGGCATTATCTAAGTGATCACAACCTTTACTCCTTCATTTCATTTATATCTTATGTGTGCATTTTGAGCCTGTTTTTGTCCCTAGGTCCCAGTAATTGAACTGCTTGTCTTCCTCATATCAGAGTATGAGCTCATTTATGCATTTTTATTATTATAGATCTGTGGTATAGTTATGGTGAGTTTCTATATCTCCTTCTATGCCTTTTTAAATTGCTTATGCAGTATTTAACAGTTCTGTTTTATATTTAGGTCTTCAATAAACTCATCAGGAGATATAAGTATTTGGAAAAAGCATTTGAGGATGAAATGAAAAAGGTAAAACTCAAATATAATGCCTATCTATTTAAAATGATGAAATGGACAGGGCGCAAAAATTTTACGTATATAATCATAGTCCCAAAGTGCCATGTACATAGTAAGTTTTTAATAAATGTTTGTTATAATAAATAAGTGAATGAGTATGATAGGTCATTAGCTAATAGCTATAGGAAGAAATATGTGACTATGTAGGACTTTTCCCATTAATATTTGATGTGACCTAGTTTGCTTTGTATAATAGGAATAGTTTTACAGAATATGATCTCTGGCCTCACAGAGGTTAAAATGAAAACTAGAGATTTTGAGATACATAAGATAAATATATCAAGGCAAGAATCAAGATAGAGGTGATTTAATTAGTTAAAGCCCATGAAAGAGCATAACACAGCAGCTAATGCTCAATAAAATTCTTTAATAGTAGAAGATACAACTTAACAAAGGCGATAAAAGCACATATTTGGAGATAAAGCATCTGAGTATAAATCTCAGTGCTTTTTCCAATCAGTGAAATAGCTGTAATAAGAGTATATACCTTATGTTTGTTGTGGGAATAAGTGAGATAACACATAAGGTGGGTAGCATGGTAAATGGCCTCTGATAAGGAGCCAAATGAACAGTAGCATCTTCTTAAGAAGTCCTCTTTTTAGTAATGGTAACACGTTCTCTCTTCTAATGTGTAACTCTGTATTTATAGATACCACCCACTGTATTAACTTGTTACAGATTTATATGTTGCTTTGTCATTGTTTTGAATTTTAGATATCAGCCTAAAGTATAAACCACATGAGGAAAGTAACCATAACATCTACTTGCAATTTACTTACTCACTTCCCCCTGTTCAGAGTGATACTGTATATAATATTGAAGAACAATTTGGCAGTAAAGTCATTTAAAAAAAAAACAATTTACATAATCCATGATCCAGCTGTCCCATCTATAAGAATCCTTTAGCATGGCTATATAAAGCTATATGTATAAAGAAGACATCACATTTTGAAATACCATAATTTAACAAACCAGTTTCCTACTAATGGAGACTGGTTAAATTATGGTTTATCAGTAACGGTACAATACTACGCAGTCTTTTAAAGAATGAGGCGTGACTACATGAATTGATAAGGGAAAATGTCCAAGACAAATTAAGTGAAAAGGCAAGGTGCAGAACAAATAATTGGTAGTAGTTTAACTTTGGGCAAGTTATATATAAGTATATTAAAAAATCTGGAAGAACATACATCAAATTGGTAATGTTAATTCTTAGGGAGTAGAATTAGAGAGGTATCTTTTTTACATGTTTATATTATTTGACATTGTTTGATTTTGTTCAAAAATGATGTGTTAAATATGAAAGAATTTTAAATGGAAAAAAA